CTACTGGAAACATGCTCTCTTGTAGTTACCTCAGTCAGAGGTCTTGCTAATATTGCAAAATGCAAGATAATCTCCTATAAAATCCTAAAATGCACGAATATCTTTAATTGTTTTTGGTATTCAGTAATTTTTATATACTTCTAATTTTTTTGGATGTGCTTTTACCTCCTGAGGTTACTATTTTCTTTCAAATGAAATGGCATTCGCATGGTTTCATCATTAAGTTTACCCTCTTAATCTACCAAACACACTTCTTAACCTCTGCAAATGTTCATCAAACTTGGAATGAAAATTATGACATCATCTAACTAGCAAAAACATTCTGAATCTTGTGAACTTGATAATACTACATCCATCAATTTCTGGAATGTTGAGAAAGTGTCGATTAACTGAGATGGAGTTCTATTAAACTGATAATTTCTAAATGGTAATATAAATGCAGCTTTAGCTTTATCTTCTATCTGTACTCACCAGTATCCCATTTGCAAGTCCATAGATGAAAAGTGCCTATTTTTACCTAACTTACTTAACAATTCTTGGATATTAGGTAATGAGTAGGCATCTTTAATAATAATTTTGTTAATTTTCCTAAAAATTCTTACAGAACCTTAAATAACCATCCTTTTTGGGGGCTAATACCACTGGAGATGCATAAGGATTACTAATACTGTCCTTTATTATTTATTGTTTAAACATCTTTTTTAATTCTACCCTGTCCTTCTCTGGTACTTCAAAGATTCTCTGTGCTACCATCTAACACCAGCTTGTGTTGTACTTTACTTGTACAACCATTGGGGTCACTTTTTCCCACAAATATATCTCTATAATTCTCTAATAAATTCACTAATTTAGTTATAAAACAAGGGGACACAGATAAATGTTTAGGAATTCATCAGATTCCATCTTCAATATCTAAAGCAAAATAAAAGAATTACATCATTCTAAGTAAGTAACTGAAGTTCCTCAAAAATATTTATACTGGAAATTAACAACGAGCAGATACGCAACAATATCTTTAGGTTCAATTAATACTTCTTCATCCTGTACTTTAGCTTCAACAAAAATGTAACCTCTCTCAGGTATTTTAGTTACTATTAATTAATCTCACAGGTGCTCTTTCAATCCTAGTTTCCTGTTTGTATGCTCTGTTGCCTAGCATAGATGTATAGTCAACTGAGGGGTTTATACAGCTGTGTTTTTTACTCTTAATGTTGATGTTTACCCATCTAATATTATCTTTTTCCTATTTTATTTTGCCTTGCTTTACTAGTATTTATTTCACTATAATTAGTACTAATACTAGTATTTCTGCTAGTACACATGCTAGGCTTAGGGCTTTTTATTTTTATTCCTTCTTTGTCTGATTTTTTTTTTCTTGAACACTTAGTCGTATTACCATGCCAACTTTGTATCACTGCTCTAAGGAGTATCAGTGCTTTTGTGTTTTTACTTTTGATTCTTAGCCTCACTACTTTGCTTAATGCTAGTATTCAGCATCTGACTATTAGTCTGAGTCAGTGGGAAAGTATTGTTTGTCTCCACTTTCACACACAAGTCAGAAGGTAAAATTCTTCAAAACCTAAGATCTCCATTTCTATGAGCAGCTTACCTCTGGTAATGGATATATCAGTGTCAAGAAATCCTGACCTAGTATACCATCATTCTATCTGCTTACAGATGTAAAATGAGTGTTGAAGTTCTAAATTTCCTACTTTTGTTTGAATGCTATACTTGCCTAGCATTTTAACAGAATGTCCTGTTATTGAAGTTAAAACACTTTTTTGAAACTTCCTTCCATGCATTATTTAACAGTATTTTATTTAGAAAACAAACCTCTTATTTAACAATGTTTGTTTCACAAATTCTCAGCAGAGAAGATCAAGCATTTATGTTAACTAACAACTGACATTCTTTATCCTCCAATTGTACTAAAACTACTGGCACAGCTTCATTAAAACTATTAATGCTTAAACTTTTATTCCATGCTGCCAGACCTACTTCTAATTTTGCTTTGTAACTCTAGCTGGAATTATATTTTTTTGCTTCACCAGGAAATGGTTTTCCTGAACTTTTTCTTAAACGTTGTAGCCTTTGGGGATTTTTTATTTTCTGCTTTCAGTGAGCATGTACAGTCTATAGCTATGTGCTATCTTAATCCATAGTTAAAGCATTCTATCTCCTCGCTATTTTTCTTAAAATATCCTTTCTTAGGGATATGCCGTAGCTTACTACAGTCAAAATATTTAGTCTCTGGCTTATTTTGTTTCTTATTCTGCCAACTTTTTCTCTAATTTCTGTTATTTACAGTGTTTATAGCAGAGTTCTGGGTTCTGTATATCTGTTTTTGGCATAGTTTTTTCCAAGTAACAACCTCAATTAAATCTAACAAAGTCGCATCTGCAGTATTTGTTTTATTTGCTTTTCTTTTTTTGACATTACTGGTCAAATCTCATTCATAGTCTCACTTTAAAGTATCATGTATCATTAATTTGTTAGAGTTTCTATATGCCCAATGAAGTCTGCTACCTGGCCTATGTAGCTTGTGACCACATATTCTGACCGATTCTTCCCTTTACCAGATTAAGCTATGAACTTAAGTTAATATGGTATTTGTTATTTGTCAAGTTCTGTATTTTTGCACTAACTTATAGGCTGAAAATTGAAAGCCAGTAGTGTCTCTGAGCTTGTCATAAGTTTTAATATAGTGCTTCACTTCTTCTGTGGTTCTTAATCTGAGAATATCTGCATTTGAAGTATCTGTCCACCCTGGTATTTTAGCTGCTTCATTGATGGAATCAATAAAACTCAACATCTTCATCAATTTTTCTATAAATTAATAGTATAAAATTGTTGAATGTTTAGCACCACATTTTCTTGTTGGTACTGGCGGATCTAACTGGCCTCCTGCGGCAGCTTTTAAATCTGCACCTGCTAGTCTTTCAGTTCTAGATCATGTACCCTCTTATGTTTTAATTCCTCCAGTAGTCATAGTTCTATTTACTTCTCTTATTACAACTATTTATGCATAATTATTAACAAATCCCAATGCTACCATGTTTTGGACTGGAGTGGATCAAAAACATTGCATTCCCTCTTCCTACTGTTGCCTAGATGTTGGGTTCGCAGATGAACTGGTGTTCTAGGTCTGCACACGTGCCCTGGCTAGGATGGTGGGATAAAAGCCAGTTTCCCTTCTGCTTCCTAGTATTGAGGTGAACACAGTAGGAACCCTCCTCCTACCATGAACCAGATGATAAATACCTGATATTGACATGTTTTGGACTGGAGATGACCCACTAAATATGATCTGATGTGCCCTAGCCACTCTATGCACTCTTTCTGCCCAATTTAGCGACATGCATTTTTACAACAAACAAACAGCATACCTGGTACAGGTGTGGTGTGGTCTCCTACAGGTGTATCCCTCTACATTGAAGTTTTACTGTCCATGAACTCACTTCATACACTTTCTGAAGGTTATAATCTAGATATATTTTGAACCAGTCCTTCCATCAGTTCAATGTAGGATTCTAGCTATTATGTGAATGGAGCTAAGGTATCGTATCAGAAATTATAATTTTCCTACACGTAAAATGTATTTCTGATAGATACCTTCTCTTACTTACACTTCCCACCCATCCTCCCCATTTCTGGTGCTTTTTTTTTTTTGCCCAATTTTGAAGTGAGGATTGGTTCCTATAGTATAGAGGGAGTCAACTGCACCAGGAGAATGTATTGCACTCCTACTGGTGGAGGGCTATCACATGCTTGTTTGCACATGGGGGTAGGTGGTAGTATCAATTCTAGTGGCAAGCAAAAATTGGGCCTGTAGAGGGCAGTACTAAATTAGAAAAGGTATTATTTAGGTGAAAATAAGGACCTATAGGAACTATACTTTAAGTGTAGGAAAATTTTATCATTTGTTATACTTAATGATATTGCAAAACAAAGAAATGTGGATCAATGTGGGATATCGGGACCATCCATAAACAGACCCATAACATGTCATACCCAGCCATGTAAGGATTTGCAGCATCATGTAAAAGTTTAGTCCACAAACATGAAGTTCAATGACAAAAGTTATCAACATGCCCAAGTCAACATAAAGATCTTCAGCTAGAAAAGCAACACAAGTTACATTCATACAAGTTCCTTCCATAACATATCTGTGCAACCATTGTATTTTCAAGCAGCTAGAAAATAAAATGAATATTCATGGTGAAGCTGCTTGGTGTGGTGCATATGTATTTTTGTGCAATTCAACTGACAATACTGGCACTGGGCAATCATTGTCCTCCAATACTAAATGGAATTGGAGAAGCATTCACGTAGAGTGATTTTGTTTGTGAAGATTTTTTAGTTTCTTCTCCTGTCTAAAGTTTTTTTTGTTATAGCTTTACCTTATACACATACACACACTAACTAATATGTATCTGTAGTATAGGGCTGTTAGTTATAGAAAAATTCCTATATTAGTTGTCTTAATTGTGTATAGAGTTGAAAGTGTAACCTGATATCTGCAACATGCTACTAAACCTGATATAAACCAGTATTTTAAGAACTCGGTTATGTTTACTGAATAAACAGTTCCGATTTGTGAGCGAACTTCAAATCTAAGTGTTATAGTGAGAAATTTGGTGTATTTTTTTTTTTTTACCTAACTACAGTAGAAATGTTTTAGGAATTTGACATTCTAAATGCATCATGGAGAATACTTGAATGATTGGAGACATTTACTTAAGTTAGAATTGTCCATTTAAGTGTGACTTATCATATCGAAAGAGAAAGTCTATTACAAAATTAAGTATGTTTGGATTATTCTGAATGCATGAAAAAACTAACCTTTCATTATAATACAGATTAATGTTTTTATTCAGTAATAATAATAATGAAATATACTTGGTAGATTTATGTTTATAGGTAAATAAATAATACTTTGTGTATCTAGTGAAACCATAAATATGTGTATGATGAAATAATGACTGTTTTCCATTATTTAGGACTCATAGTGGAAAGGAATCATGGACCAAAACTGGTAGGGAGCTCAGACATATTGCTGATGAGTTTGCTAAGAGTGCTGAGAGAAAAAAAGTTAAAGAAAAAGCCGATGGTGTAAGTTAGTCAAATTTTCATTTGTGCAAAATCAACTGCTATTTAAAACTTCAAAGATAAATGTTTTTAAGAAAAACATCCTAAATCATTTTATATATTTTTAGTACAGCAAATTGAAAAGTATACTGAAGTTTCAGTT